ACCTGTTTCCTCATCTGTAAGAATCTAGTTCTATTTATACCACAAGGTTATCTGAAGAGGAAATAAGAAAACAGACATGAAAGTACTCCAACAAGTTCCTTGATAAGCTTCTGTCTGTTAGGTGTTGTAATATATCACTACAAAATGCATTTAAGGGATGAAACTGGGAATTTATCACAGTTGCCAAAGTGTCTGTCTGTAACCAGAACTATCCTATAAAAGCCCTAAATCAAAGTAACTCAAACTTTCTGCCTTCTGCACAGCCCAGTACAGTACAGAAATCAGACTATCTGGATGCTAGCAATGTGACAGTAAAATACAGAGAAAGAAATACAAAAGATAGGAAAAGAGTAAAAATCAAAACAAAGTGAGACAACAAAATATACTATCCTGGATGAGTACCTTCTACTCAGAGTATGTTTCTGGGATACTTGCCAGGGTATGAGGAGAACAGCAAACTGCACCTACATGCCTTTGCTGGACCACCAGTCTACCTTCCTCAATAGCTTTCCCTAACGTAGGGGCTTCGGGTAAAGACAACACCAACCCAGCTGCCTCTATACACAGGGCAGCATCACAGGAGAATAATACCATGGCTTCTCAGCAATCTTCCAACACAGTCTCCCACTTTCCGTGGCAACTTCCTCAGGACCTGAAGAGAATCTATGAATCATCTGCTTCTACAACATGAAGCTGCTTCCCCACAGATCCAAAGTAACTTAAACAACTAAGTGTCCGTGACACTGTTAGTAAAAATAGTGATAGACACAATGCAAGCAGATCTGAGAGCCAAGAATTTTGAATGTTATGCTGACCCAACTGCCTGCATCAAACAGCTACACTTAAACTGTATTAATTCTGTTCTCTCACCTATAGTATGGAAATGACAAATTCAACAGACATTCCACAAAAGAGAGCAGGTAACAAGTTAATTCTGTACTGGACTGGAGTCATAGTTCTTAAATCAATTATTTCTAAAATCCTTAGAATTCTAGATGCAGGTAAAATCAAACAGGCATTTCTATTTTCTGTTACCAGAAAAAAGAAAAGGGTCTGAGGCCAACTTTGGAAAGGAAACAGAGAGTCAGAACTGTTTTTACATTACCGTCTGAAGGAGAAAAGTATGCAAAATGATAAGCTGATCTGTTCACAGACATCACAGAAGGTAAGAGCTGACCTTCAGCCCAGTGAGAAAGTGGTCCAGAGCTTAGAATCACTGAGAGGGTGATGCTGTGACTGGGGTTAGAGAAATCCCTTACATATTGGCATTCCCACTATTCTAGTCTTTGGATTATTCTTTCAAGATTACATTCCTAAAACAGCTAAGGATGGCATTTTTATTGAGCAACTGAGAAAGCTATTAATTAACATATATTCATTTCAACGTTATTTTTAAACTTCCTCAAAATAACCATGAATGTTCCACACAGTTAAAAAAAAAAAACCTGATACTATTAAAAAAAAAAAACTCCATAATATGCTTAAGATTTGCGGTCAAACATATATCCACTTCGCAATCATCAACCAGACTAGTCTGATTTTTTTCTCCTGGTCATTTTCTCCAGCTGTTAAAGGATGGTGATGGAGTCCCTACAGTGTCGCCATGCTGGGCTGAGCGAGTATGGCTCCCATGAAAACAGCTGGAGACCCAAGGATCCTGCTTGTGTGGAAGTACCGTTCCTGTCTGCTTGGCGCCGATTGATCAGGAGAGCACTGCTGTTGAGTGAACACTACCTGTCCTGTAAGCTTGTGGAGAGAGAAGGAAAACTTCTCGGGCATTTTCATGTTAGCTAGGCTAGGAAGATCTAATAACTGAGTGCTTTCACAGCTACAAATACTAGTACACATATTCCCACTACCATTTCAATTCCTCAAAAATGAGCTGGTTATCTAATCTCAAGATCTTCTGAGAAAACATGGATCCATGGACAGAGGAGTCTGGAGTCTGGTGGGCAACAGTCCATGGGGTCACAAAGAGTTGGACATGTCTGAGAAACTAACATCTTCACTTCACTATGGTCATATGGTCTTGCAAAGCCAATTTCCACTTCTACCACCAATCACATGAGCCCTGCCCTCAAGAAGCTCACCATGTAGAGGACAGATAAAAGTGTGACAGAAGGGATTTTCTATTAGATGTGTTTTAATAGAGGCATGTGGAAGGTACAATGTGGCATGTAAGACAGAGCAACCAAGCATGTCTTGAGTTGGGAAGAAGAGGCAAGGAAAGCATAAAGAGAAGGGTTAGGAGATGTACAAGTTTTGTCACGTGGACCTGAGGCCATGAAAAGCCCTCCAGTAAGAAAGAACCATGCCTACAAAGGCAGGGGTGGGGGGGGTGTGGTGTGTGTGTGTGTGTGTGTGTGTGTGTGTGTGTGTGTGTGTGTGTGTGTGTACTCATGTCATTTTGAGAACAAGACCATGCAAAAGTCACCAACTTTCTATTCTGACTTTTGTCTTTGTCTCACAGATTATCATTATGTTAAAAATAATGAAAGAAAAACAACTTAGAAAAATGAGGAAAAACTTCATCATTCTAGCTAGGACGTGTGCAGATAAGGCATGTTATGCTTCTATGATCTTAACTCCCAGAAGGCAGAAAGCATGATTGTTTCCAACACATTTCAACTAAGAATAAATCTATACAGAATTATGAGATATTTCCTGGGTTCATGGATTTAATCTGACAGGTCACGATGTGTCTGTTTATCTGACAGAACTTGTGTGCTACGTTCCAAGAGGGAGACACACCAGGATAGCAGGGCAGTGACACTGGCCGCGTTTTCTCCATCCAGGAGCTCAGGGGCTATGCTCTGTGCTCACTAACAGCTCACCTCTGGAAGACCATGGCCAGGAAGCAGACACATATTTAAACAAGGCAACTTTTCTTTTTGCTTTTCCAATCTTTATTTTTATGATAAAGAATACACGTGGGCCAACTGGGAGGCTGCATTAGACATGAAGCATTCCATTCATTCATTAATGTATAATATTTAACCATAAGCTTAGTGTTGGAACCATAATGTTTCTAACAGGCCTTCACAGCACTTGTGCCCCTGCCAGGAGCTGCCTGTGTTGCTGGATCTAAATGACTGATCTGTAGCTTCTCTGAAAAAAATCAACCTTGCTCAAGACAGAAAAAGGGCAGTATCCTCTGACCTCAGTAAGTCTTCCTCTTTCAGAACAAATCCACAGGACACTTTATCCCTAGGATTTCACTTAGCTTACCCTAAACGTGTCACCTCAGTAAGCAGTGTTGAACTCAATGCTCTGTTACCTAAAATACTCACCAAGGTTACTTCCTAATTCTTCACAGAATTTTCAAAATCACTGTGTGAAGTTGAAGCCTCTGAACCACACAATTATAACTATGTTTTATGTCATAGAGAAAAACATGTAGAAACAGTCCGGTTCAAAATGTAGTATTTATTATCATTTATCTTCAGTCATTGGAAAAGACCCTGATGCTGGGAGGGATTGGGGGAAGGAGGAGAAGGGGACGACAGAGGATGAGATGGCTGGATGGCATCACCAACTCGATGAACTTGAGTGTGAGTAAACTCCGGGAGTTGGTGATGGACAAGGAGGCCTGGCATGCTGTGATTCACGGGGTCGTAAAGAGTTGGACACGACTGAGCAACTGAACTGATCTTCAGTCATCTTGTGGAAAAGCACAGCAGATTATCCCTGCCATGCAAATCAGCAATTATGTATTTACCTTGCAATTACTTAAAGAAATATAAACTTGTAACCTGTGTATGATTCTGTATGTGTATTATATTGGTCAATTTTAAAATGTATTAGAAATTTAAATAAAGTAATGCAAGCTACCTGCGATATCCTCAGCCTGTTGTGGAAGAATTTAATTAGAGACGAATGACCACTCACTGCAGACACAATGGGAAGACCCCTCCTCTGGGGAAGAAGTTAAACTTAGAGGTCTTTACAACGACAATGACAATGTTAGTCACTCAGTCGTGTCTGAGACTTTGCGACCCCATGGACTGTAGCCCACCAGGCTCCTCTGTCCATGGGATTCTCCAGGCAAGAATGCTGGAGTGGGCTGCCATTCCCTTCTCCAGGGGTCTTCCCTACCCAGGGATCAAACCCGGGTCTCCAGCAATGCAGGCAGATTCTTTACCATCTGAGCCAGCTGAATTCAAATCTAAGAATTTATTGATGAATGAAATTTTAAAAATGCCAGTAGGGGTGCTTCCCTGGTGGTCAAGTGGTTAGGAATCTGCCCTGAAATGCAGGGGATACCAGTTCAATCCCTGGTTCAGGAAGATCCCACAGGCTGCTGAGTAACTGAACCTGTCGCCACAGATGCTGAAGCCTATGTCCTCTGGAACCATGCACAAGAGAAGCCACCACGATGAGTCCGTGAACCACAAGCAGAGAGTAGCCCTCGCTCTGCAACTGGAGAATGCCCACACAAAGCAGTGAAGACTCAGCACGGTCAAAAATAAATAGATAAATAATTTAAAAAAATACTGCCGATAAAATCAATATCCCTGAGGGACTTCGCGGGTGGTCGGTCCAGGTGTCAAGACCACGATCCCAGTGCAGGGTACGTGTGTTTGATCCCTGGTCGGGGAACCAGATACCACATGATCAAACCCCGATTTCGTCTTACTTCATGATTTTTACCCCGCCAACAAAGTTAGCAAATCAGTATTAAATTAGTGTGTATTATCCTATTGTCACATAATCACTGTTACTAAAATTACATTTCTAAGAAAAATAAAAACAGAAACAGCCAGATTTTATAAAAACATAGCCCTTAAGCAGAAATCTTGATGTGGACCTCCACCCCCACTAAATTATCAAAAATTTGTTGCCAGAAATACAAACAAGCCATGAGAAGCAGTTCAGAGCTTCTGTTACATAAAACCTATGTCGAATCCTGGCTCCCTTCCCCTGGCATCACCATATAATAAAGTGATAAAAATGTTCCTGATGTCTTTTGAGACATACTCACGGTTGGTGACTGCACTCACCAGGGAGGATAGATGCGGACAACATCCTGTGGGCGCCCCCTGAGGTAGTGGGCAGTCTCCTTGGTGAAGAGAACCTTCAGGCTGGCCCCCGCGGCCCCACCCTGACAAGGGCCGTCAGCCGGGAGCTCTGACAACTGCCTACACGTGGCAACGTGGACAGTGCACTCCTCATGCAGCTCTAGAATCTTCACAGTTAATACACCAGATTTTGTACCTGGAAGGAGACAAACAAAGGCAAACCAATCATTTCATAAAGCATGTTTCTAGTCTAAAACTTGAACCCTTTCAAAAACAACAACAAAGGGAGCATGACTGGGGTCCCCCTTTCTCACATGCCTTTCTACTTCATTAGCTGCTTTGATTGCCTACTTTGAAATGATGCAGTATGACTGACCAGCTGCAAATACTGTAACAATCATACAGATTAAAAGTTGTGGATTTCTGTGAAATAATGGGGTTAGGGCTCTAGACTGAAGTGGATGGAATCTGATCTGGATTCGATCACCGGCTCTCTTATTAAGTTGGCCCAGTTACACGGCATTTCAACACCTCATTTTTCTCATACATAACATGGAGATCATGCCACGTGCTTTGATTAATATTTTTAAGATTTAAGTAAGATAAATAAAGTTGATGGTGTGCATAGCCTGTAACCATATAGCAGAAATCCCAGATATGCACCTAAGGACTCTGTCACATGCTCCTGGAGAACGGGACAAAGCTGCACAACTCACTGTTGTTTGTAAGAGCAGGAAACCAACCCAACATCAATCGGTGCCCAGTGGGTAAGCTGTGGGGGTGGACAGAGCAGACTCCACACCAGCTACATGAGCGGACCTGGTCTGTGTGTATCAGCTCGGAGAGATCTCAGTAAATAAAAGGGGTAAACGAGCTGTGAGCAGCCTAACACCCTAATGCTATTTCTCTCAAACACAAAAACCAATAAAACATCATTACAGACACAAATGTCAGACAGTTACATAAATATGGACTAGTACAACACAGAGAAAACTTGTGATAACCGCTGAATCGTGTGAGAAAGGAGTGTGCCTTAGGAAGGGAAGCCAGGCGACTTCAAACTTATCTGCTGTACTGTTATAAAAAGATGTGAAGCAGAAGAGACAACAGATTAATGTGCTGTTAATCCTAGTTAGTGGTTACTTATTACTTTTATTACACTCTGCTTTTTAATTAAAAAGTAAATGCATTAAATGAGATAAAACCTAAGGGTCTGGTACGTGTCTTGTTAATAACAGATACTAATACAAGTTTCATTACCACTTTAGCTAACCAGTTAACTAAAGGTTTTAACGGGGCCAAGGCTGTGGATATACAGTTTAATTTCATTTCCATTTCTAAAAAGAAATCTCTAAAAAATTTCTAAAAAAAAAAAAAACCCTTTCACTTTTCTCTGTCATTTTCCCCTCTTCCTCAAATTGTTCCACACTCTTCTCTCTGAGTGCCAACAGCAAGCGTTCATGTATGAAGTAAGGTCAGAGCACCTCCCCGGAGCACAACCGGGAACAAGGATTTCTGAGGTATGCGGCTACCCTGTGGAGGGGGCGGTCCGAGAACAAGCACAATGCTAGGCTGCACTGGTCCCTGCGGGGAGTGAAAACACCCGGGAAAGAACAGCACTGCCTAGGAATGGAAGACGGACTCGGCTCTGCCACTACAGGCGTCTCTAAGCAAAAGGTAGTCCACCCTCAGCAAGCGAACAGGAAGAGAAGTCAGCGTATGTGGGGTCACTGTGGTGCACACATTTTTTGCCTGCGCTGGGCAGCAGAGCAGTGGGCGGAGTCAAGTTCACCGGCAGCACAGAGAAAAGCCCTAGGCTTAGGGCTAGCCACAGGCACATCTCTGGATATATTTCAGAAATTATTAAAACGTGTACCCGCACTCAGGGCTCACCCCCAACACTATCCTCTGCCACTGGCAGCAGCTGCTGCCCAGGACTCTGAGGCCTGTGGTCTCCAGTACCCACTGCCCCGCTGGAGCTCAAGGGCCAGCGCCTGCCCAGGCAGCACCATTCTCCCTCTGGTTACCAGCCACTGTTATGTGCGGCTGATCACAGAGTGACTTAGGTTTTCAATGGTCTGCCTCCAACTCTACAGTCCCTGACAGATTTTACAGAAGGCCAGACACTACAGAGACACGTAAACAGTATTACAGAAGAAATACCTATATATTTGAGTCACACTGCTACTGACTGCAGTTTCTTTGAAGATTTTTATGAGAACTCCTGACAATACCTAATAAATATGAACCCTGATCTGACCATTACCACTGGACGCTTCCCGACTAACAGGTCTGGGAGTGCCCTATAGGCTGCAAGCGGGGCCTGGGGGGGCAGGGAGGGGGGGCTGTGAAGCTCCTCCCACAGGCCAGCGGGGAAGCCAAGGTCGGCCTTCTCTGGAGAAAGGAAGCAGGGTAACCTCCCCTTCCTCTGCGGGAGACAGAGCCTGGACAATCCAAGACCAGTTATGCATTCGATGCAAGTTTCAATCCGAGCACAGGAGATACTGGTTTTACAAATGACCAATTTTGCAACTAGATGAAGGGGAACACAAAAAGGCTATTCTGTGACAGTGGGACAACAGTTTTTCATAAACGCTGTTGCGACTCAGTCAAAGCTTCTATCTATGTTGTCAAGGAGGTGTTTCCTGAATCCCAGCCACAGGCAGAGTTCCTCCCCTCAGAAACCCTCAATTGCCTTATCTACACTTATCTTTCTCATGAGAACCCTCCTTTTAAAATGGAGACGGTTTCGGCTATTGTCTAGAACACAGCAAACATTGAGAGAGACACAGAAAGCCTACAGTGCAGGGCCTGGTTTGTTACCCGCGCAATAAAGGCGGCCACTGTCATCACAGCACTGTCACAACACTAACTTTCCAAGGCATTTCTAAATCTATTGATGTTCTCCTACCTGATCCACAATAACTCTATGAAATAGGTAAGGAATATACTAATCTCCCGTCTTGACCAATAAGAAAACTGAACAAGTCAGCTGTTCACATGACTTCTTCAGGGCAGAGAGGATCACTGGCAGGACTCAGGGGTTAGGGTTAGGTCAGAAAACTGAGTGTTCTCACAAGTCCTGGAAGCAGTGTCTTGAGGGTAAATGCTAGTTAAAGACAGGAAACTGAGGATGCTTTTACCCCTATTTTATTATACTAAAACATTGGACTTTTTTAACAAAAAAAAAAATTTTTTAAGTACACCTGGTTGAGAAATGGACTCCAGTGAGGCTTCTCACTGGCAGGACACAGTCAGGATTTCAACACTGGTAAGGAAGAGTGTAATCTGACAGAACCAAACTCTGAGGAAGAAGTGCTCGAAGACCAAATGGAGGGCACAGACATCAATACAGCACCAAAGTGGTGAAGACATGCGAACAGACAACTCACAGAAATACACCACCAGAGCTGAGCAGATGAAACAATCTGTGTTACAAAGGAAAATAGTTACCTTAAAGGTAAACATCTGTTGAATGAATGCATCAGTAAGTGATTTATTTTTATCACCTAACTGCTCTAAAAAAAGTCTTTGATTTTAAATAAACAAGAGGTCTAAAAACAATCGAGCAAATAATATGAGAACACAATGTATTTTTGATACTTGAATTATCTGAAATATACAGATGACTAGAGTCCATTTATAATACATGTTAATTCCAATCTTTCTCAGTGGGTTACACTGATGAATTAATATATATATTGTGAGGACAACTTTCATGAATACCTACATAAAAATACTATGCAAAAAACTAACAAATATTATAAAAGAAAGTACCAAGTGAGGTAAATTGCTATGTGGGGAGAAATATTGAAATCATCCTATTGAGACAGAAACATCTGTAATTTTTTATTATGAAATACCTTTCATAATGGTTGCATTAACTTTAACTTGTTCCATTTACTTATCCAAATGTTGACCACACAGTAATTTGGGATTTTCCCTATAGTATCACTCTTTGTCTTCACAGATATTCCAACAGGCTAACCTATAAAAAGTCTGGCTTTAAAATACATGTCCTACTATTCTCTGAAATTGGTACTTTTTCTCTTCTTCAGGCCAAATCACCAGCAGGTGCCCATCATGACTTTTTCCGGCAGTCCTCACACCTCATGTACACACAAACACACATGCACACATGAAAACACACATGTGCACACACAGGCTGGGGTGGGAGGGCAAAACAGTACAGCAAATTGGGGGGCTTTAAAGTTCACTTGCTTCCTGTGCAGACAGAGGAGCAGGTGTGTGTGTGATGGGCAAGGGACAGGGGACAATAGTGACATCAAGATATTAGTGTTAGGTTTAGGAAGACTGAGACGCCTCTTAGTTACTACGGCAGCCTGGCCCTAACTGACCTCCTCAGTCTGGTACCTGACTGCTCCGCCCTATCCCAAGGCCCTCCAGAGCTGTCTCTCTCCGCATAAATCTGATGACAGCCATTCCTGTTCTTGAACCCCTCAGGGGCCAACCACTGAGTAACCCAAACAACGGCCCACTCTTTAGAAATGCTTTTGTAACCAGTTACTTCTCCCTGCTCTACCCTCAAGTCCCACAGCTCTCAAGAAGCTTTAAATTATTACTATACTCACAATTTAAGAAAGCACTTCATCACCATCTCCCAGGTGAATGCTATGACCACAGTTGTTTCCCATTCAGTAGTTTATCTCTGTTATGTCATCATTGTAGCTCTTACTTACCAAGATTTTAACACATAAAATGAATAATTTTATCTATTAAATCATTAACTTTGCAAGGGATGCAAAGTAAACTGTAATCAACACTACAGTCCAAAATCAAATCCAAGTGGTATTTGATCTATTCACTCTATTGTACCATTGCTTATTTTCATTAATATATACTGAAAGTTGAATTGTATTTATTTGTACACAACTGTACTATATTTTCTTTTGAGAGGTTACAACTATGCCTGATTCTACCAATGATCCCAAACACCCAGCAATAGTATAGGCCTGTGAGTGTTCAGTTACTGAGTCTTCAACTTCATTGCTGTTGTTGAGGTTTAGTCGCTAAGCCATGTCTGACTCTTTGGAATCCTATAGGCTGCAACACGCCAGGCTCCTCTGTCTTTCACTATCTCCCGGAGTTTGTTCAATTTCATGTCCACTGAGTCAGTGATGCCATCCAAGCATCTCATCCTCTGCTGCCCCCTTCTCCTTTTGCCTTCAATCTTTC